TTTTATTCATCTTCTTAATTTCTTTCTTCTTTATTTTTTGATTAGATTTATCTAATTCTGAGAGGGGAAAGTTGAGGTGTCTCCCACCTGTTATAGCTTTATTATCTATTTCCTCTTGTAATTCATTCAACTTATTCAAAAATTTAGATGCTATATCATTTGGTGCATATATGTTTAATATTGGTATGGCTTCATTTTCTATGGTACCTTTCAGCAAGATATAGTTTCCTTCCTTATCCCTTTTAATTAGATCTGTTTTTGCCTTTGCTTTTTCTGAGACCATAATTGCTACCCCCACTTTCTTTGCTTCAGCTGAAGCGTAATAGATTCTGCTCCAGTCCCTTACCTTTACCCTGTGTGTCCCTCTGCTTCAAATGCATTTCTTGTAAACAACATATTGTAGGATTCTGGTTTTTAATCCATTCTGCTATCCTATTCTGTTTTATGGATGAGCTCATCCCATTCACATTTATAGTTACGATAACTAACAAGGTATTTCCCTCCACGCTATTTTCCCCTTCTTTATCCCCCCCTCTCTTACTCCCACCCTTTCCCTCCTCAGAAGTGTTTTACTTCTGATCACCACCTTTCCCAACCTACCTTCCCTTTTATCAGTCCCACCTCCCCTTTCTATTATCCCCATTCCTTTTTCCTTCTTTATAGGGTAAGATAGATTTGTGCATCTAATGAAGTGTGTGTGTTATTCTGTCTTTGAGCCAATTTTGATGAGAGTAAGGTTTAAGCTTTGGCCTGTCACCTCCTCCCCCCCATCTTTCCCTCCATTATAATAGCTCTTTCACGTGTCTTTTATGTGGGATAATTTACCCCCATTCCATCTCCCTCCTCCTTCTTCTCCCAGTGCATTTTTCTTTCTCACCCCTTTATTTGGGGGGGGGGGTATCATGCCATCAAAGTCACCTTATATCCACATTCTATTTATACTCTTCTAGTTGCTCTTACAGTAATAAAGTTCTTAAGAGTTAAAAATATTATCTTGCCATATAGAAATATAAAGTTTATCCTTATTGAATTTATGTTTTCTTTTTCTTGTTTCTTTTTTACCTTTTTATGTTTCCCTTGAGTCTTGTGTTTAAAGGTCAAATTTTTTATTTAGCTCTGGTCTTTTAATTAGAAATTCTTGAAAGTCCTCTCTTTTATTAAATATATATATTTTTTTCCCTGAAAGATTATATTCAATTTTGCCAGGTAGGCAATTCTTGGTTGTAATCCTAACTCCTTTGCTTTCTGGTATATCATATTCCAAACCCTCCAGGTCTTCATTGTGGAAGCTGTCAGATCCTACATATTCCTGACTGTAGTTCCACGATATTTGAATTGTTTCTTTTTGGGTGCTTGTAAAACCTTCTCCTTGATACGTGAGCTCTAGAATTTGGCTATGATGTTCTTGGGAGTTTTCATTTTGGGATCTCTTTCAGGTGGTGACAGGTGGATTCTTTCCATTTCTATTTTGCCCTCTGGTTTAATATATCAGGACAGTTTCCTTTGATAATTTCTTGAAAGATGTCACCCACCCAGGCTTTTTGTTTTTTTTTTTTGGATCATGCTTTTCAGGTAGTCCAATAATTCTTATATTATCTCTCCTGTATCTATTTTCTAAATCAGTTGTTTTTCCAATGAGAAATTTCACATTTTCTTCTATTTTATTTCCTTTTTTATTTTGTTTTATTGTATCTTGATATTTCATAGAGTCATTAGCTTCTACTTGCTCAATTCTAATTTTTAAGGAATTTTTTTCATTGAGCTTTTGTACCTCCTGTTCCATTTGACCAATTCTATTTTTTATTTATTATGGAGTTCTTTTCGCTGGTAAATTTTTGGATATCTTTTCCTGTGCTATGAACTCTTTTTTCATGATTCTCTTGAATCACTCTCATTTATTTTCCTAATCTTTCTTCTACTTTTCTAATTTGCTTTTAAAAATCCCTTTTGAACTCTTCCAGAAATTCTTTTTGGGCCTGAGACCAAAATGCATTTTTCTTTGAGGCTTCACATGTAGCCATTTTGACACTATGGTCCTTTTCTAAATTTATGCCTCGATCCTCCCTGCCACCACAGTAACTTTCTATAGTCAAATTCTCTTTTGTTTATTTGTTTTCTGCTCATTTTTTCTACCTTTTTGGTGACTTGGTGTTTGGGCTCTGGTCCTGCACTGTCCCAAACTTTCTGCACTGGGGCTCAGGGTCTGGCTTTCCCTGGGCTGATTCAGGGCTTAGCTGCTTGCTTTCTCTGGAGGGTAACTGGATTTTGACAGAATTCACTTTTTTATTTTTTTTGGCTAGGCAATGGGGTTAAGCGACTTGCCCAGGGTCACACAGCTAGTAAGTGGTACGTATCTGAGGCCAGATTTGAACTCAAGTCCTCCTGAACCCAGGGCCGGTGCTCTATCCACTGCACCACCTATCTGCCCCCTAGAATTCACTTCTGTTGTAATCCTATGTGACTTATCTTAGGCGTTCTGGGAAGAGGTTCACAGGATTTGCCAAAGGGACCCAGCACACAAGGGTGGGGATCCCTGCATCATGCCGTTGATCTGGCCAGTGCTGAGGAGCCCCCGGCAGGGAGGAAGCCTTGTCTGGGGGCGCTCACTGAGCATTCAAGGGAACTTCAGGGAGTTAAACTGGGAAGCCAAAGGCCTGAGTGCAAATTCTGGCTCTGCTATTTCTTATCTGGCAGCTCTTTCTGACTCCAGGTCTAAAACTATCCACCAAGTCACCTGGATGCCTAATTTGACAAACAACATCTATACCTTTATACAAATTGCTGATAAAATATTCAAAATCGCAAGGTCAAGGACAGATCCCTGGATCACTCCACGGGTGACTGTCTTCCCAGCTGACATGGAACCTTCACTACTCTTTGAGTTCCATTACATAACATTAAACACAAGTATGATTTTTTAAATATTTATATCACATTTCCAAGGACATCCCTTCCCCTCTCCTTATAAAAAGCCATCCCTTTTTAAAAAAAAAAAATGAAAAATCTCAGAAGAATGAATTAGGCAAATTCTCTGAACCATTATAACCCACAAAGGAATCCCCTAATCCCCAGGGGTGGAGCACCAGTTCAAATGTCTGTTCATTCCCTTTTCACTTGAACTTGCAGACATTCCTGAAAGGGAATTTTCCCATTCACTGAAACTGGCAGCTTTCCTCCCTGCCTCCAGCTAAGAGCGGTTCTGACTTCTCAGACTCATCTCTACTCAGGCGAAGCCTTCCAGGACTCTGATGCCAGGGCAAGGAGGAAAAGGAAGGCGGAGCAGACCTAGTCAAGAGCCCCAGGGCAGGCTCGGGGTAGGAAATGGACAAGAGTTGTCTAGTTTTGCTGGGTTGTATGTAAATGATAACTACCACTCCTCCTCTTCTCACCACCGCCACCGCCAGCACTACCACTCCTATCACTACCACTACCATCACCACCACCACTACTATCCTTAGTAACCTCCCCATTACTACCACTTGGTACATAGGTACTATTATTATCCTCATTTTACAGTTGAGGAAACTGAGGCAAGCAGAAGGTGAAGTGACTTGCCTGGGTTCACACAGCTGTCTGAGGCCAGGATGAACTCTGGTTTTCCTGACTCTAGGACTGACTCACCTTACCCGCTGCACCACCAGCTGCCTGTGTTACTAATGAAGATTTGGGGGTGGAGGAGTAGCATTGGTTAGAGAAATAAGAACACTTTTTTTTAAGGACTTATTCTGTACCAACCATTGAGGATGAAAACAGAAGGGTGAGACAGCTCCTGTCCTCCAGGGGCTCCCACTCTAAGTGGGGTGACAGCATATAAGGGAGGCTCCGGTTCATGGTGGAGGCAAAGGTCCTGGTGGTCCCTGTCAGGGCAGACGGAGGGCCCCACGGGCCTTGGGAGCAGGACAGGGCAGGACAGCATCCAGACCAACGGGTCCCCAGCCGCGGGTGGGAACGGGTCAGTGGGGGCACAGCTGAGGAAGGGGGCGAGGGCCTGTTGGTCCTGGGGATGGGGTGGCCAGCGGTGAGCCGGGCCAGGAAGCGGGAGGCCCCCAGCTTGGCCTGAGGAAGGCGCAGGAACCGGGGGATTTTCTCAGCAGAGCACAAGGGCTGGGCAGGTTCGCAGACACCAGGCAACGAGCTGGGAAATAATCGGCTGAAGACGAAGAGACCCATCTGCGGCACCAGGCAGGCGGGGGGGGGGCCTCGCTGCCAGGGCACAATCTGAGATTTGAGTCAAGGAGGCGAGGATATGAAGCACCTACTATGTGCCGCATGCTGTGCTACGCGTGTGACAAATATTATCTTATTTGATCCTCACAACCACCCAGCGAGGTTGGCACTGATGATAAACCCATTTTATAAATGAGGAAACGGATGAAAACGTTGGTTATGTGACTTGCCCAGGGTCACACAGCTAGTAGTGTCTGAGACTGGATTTGAACTCAGGTCTTTGGACTCTAGGCCCAGGGTTCTATCCCCTGGGCCATTTGCTGAGGCTGATGGGCTTGGAGGACAGGGTAACTGAAGGGCCACTGAGTGTCCAAAAAGAAGACGGGGGTGGGGTGAAGTAGGGGTGAGAGGGAGAGGGAGAGGAGTGATAGAGAGGCGATACGTGGCTTTTGTCAGTGTCCCCCTGGTCCCAGTGTCAGAATGGTGGCAGTTAGAGGAGGATCAAGTGAAGAATGAATGCTTGAGTGAATGAATGCATGAGTGAGTGAACGCATGAAAAAAACATTTAAGTGCTTACGAACTGCCAGTCACCAGGGACCCAATCAGAAGCTCCCATTCTACAACGGAGACTCCGTGTAGGGCAGGGACGGGAGGGAGGGCTCACGGAGGGCAGGCTGGCAAGGCATGGGCCTTGAATGCCAGGCCATCGGGGGCCAGAGGCAGGGTTTGAGCAGGGAAGGGGCACAGGCAGGTCTCTGGGCATGAGGGAGAGTCGCCTAGTTTGGTAGGGCATCAGATTGGAGAGGGGAGAGTTAACGCGTCAGGCAACAGACTTAATTTTTTCACAAATGTTTATTAAGCACCTGCTGTATGCAGCACACAGTGCTCAGTGTTAAGACACAAAGATTAGAGGAGAACGTATTCCTGCCCACATGGAGCTTCCAGTCTAGGAGGGATTCAAAAGCATCTTCCAATGTAGGAGAAAATGCAGTAAGAATCAAAGGGGTCTCACTTTTGCTTTAAAAAAATCAACAGGAAAGTACAGGTTTGGGGAGGCACCCGAACCAGAAAAGTGAACGTGATTGGAGGTTTCAGTGATGGCGGCACGGCTTGCGGAGATGGGTGTCTCCTGGCCTGGTTGCCACACGCCTGAGGCGGCAGAGCTTCCAGACGGGCCCCCAGGATGGTGAGGGGATGGAGACCCTGCCACACAGAGGCTTAAGAGGGATGAAAACCCTTGGGGAGGGTGGGTCTGGCCCCAAGGCAGGAAGACCCTGGCACCAGGCGCCACACGGTCCCCCCTCAAGGCAAGGCACAGGGGCCCGTGGGAGGCCAGCACCCCGGAACAAAGTCCCGTCTGCTCCGTGCTCGTTACAGCTGGAGATGAGGCTGGGGGAAGGGCCCAGGGCAGAGAAGACAAGAATTGGGGAGTGGAAGGGTTAGAACTATTTTCTTTAGGCAGAACCAGGAATGGAGGGTCTAGGTGGCAGAGGGGAGATCAAGGCTCTGGACAGACTTTCCTAAGAATCAGTACTCTCAATCAACAAGCATTTATCGAATGCCACCGAATACAAAGGCACTGCGCTTGGTGCTGGGCCACAAAGCCAGCCGGGAAACACCAAAGAAAAGGGAGGATCTTGGGGACTCCTGCCCGGCTCCATCACAGGGGTCCCCGAGCTCCCTTCAAGCCCTGGGACTCTAATTCTGCCGGGGACGGCCCCCCAGATGTCCTGGGCAGTGTGGAAGCGTCCGCACCAAAGAGCTGCTGCTCTTCTGGGCCACAGTGAGAGCAGTCTGGACCCGCGCAGAGCATCACCCGCATCCTTCCCGTCCGCGAGCTTTGCTTCAAAGATGCCCAGTGGCTGCAGGCCAGACAAACTTCGTGGCCCCAGGGGCGACGGTGTAAGGGGGAGGATTTGTTTTGGCGGGCTCCAGACCCGTGTGATTTTACCTGAGCAGAGAGCTCAGCTCTTCCGGTGTGGAAACTCCCACCACAGATGCAGTTCAGAGCTGCCCAAGGCACTGAGAAACGGTCACCTGGCCCTAGCTTCCCAGACAGCCTGAGCCAGAGACGGGCACCCCGGGTCAAGGCCTCAAGGCCACGGCGCTCTGCCTCCAATGGATTGGATCTGAACCGAAAAGAGGCCGGCTGAATAGGAAGCCCGAGTCCCTCACTCGGCTCTCAGACCGAGGTGTCCCGAGCCCCAGGATACAAGAGCAAACGTCCCGCTCGGCTCTCCCTCCTCGCCCCCATCAGCCCTTCCAGGGTGCTCGGCCTGACGCTGCCATGTTCTTGGCAATCCGGCGGCCCGGCCTCCCGGCTGCTCCTCAAGGGCCTCCGTCTCCCCAGCGCCTCATCCCACCTCCCGGCCACCCTCAAACCCCGCAGAAGCGCCACCTCGTACAGGAAGCCCCCCCGGTCCTCCTCAACGCCGGCGCCCTCCCTCTGCGGGTGACTCCAACCCGTCTCGGTCGGCCGCGGCTGTTTGCACGTTGGCTCCCCCGCTAGCAGGGGAGCTCCGTGAGGGCAGGAACGGTCACCGGCCTTTCCTTGTATCACCGGAGCTTAGCGCATTATCTGGCACACAGTAGGTGTGTAAGAAATGCCAGTGGAGTGACTAACTGTATGAAAGCCTTAGTTTTCAGTAACAAAGACAGAAAAGTAAAAAAAGAACACCTTTGATTTGCTGAGGAAAAGAAATCCGATTCAGACCCTAGGATACTGTGCAAGAAAATCGGGCCGCAGGGGCCCGAGACCGGGAACGTGGCTTCTAACCCGAGGGGCGGCTACGGATCCCCGATGGGCAGTCGCCCCTGGCAGCCCGGCGGCATTTCCCATTACATCATCGAGAACGCCCGATCACAGCGGGCAATCCAAGGGACCCAGCAGGCTCCAGAGCCCACACTGCCCACCCGACCGCGAGTCCGGCCACAGTACACGGGCCACGTGGCTGGTGAGAAGGGAGCGCCGGGCGAGCCCCCGCAGCCTCCAGGGCGGGGGCCCCATCGCCGCCTGGCCGGCCGGCCGCGGCCCCCTAGAAGAGGCCGGGCAGAAGGCGCCTGGGCACGGTCGCGGTGTAGCGCTCCCAGTCGCGGCCGTACTTGCGGGAGCAGCGGTCCTCGTCACGCAGGCAGCGGTGGATGAGCAGGATGGACATGTAGACGACGTAGAAGTAGGGCAGGAGGTGGGAGAAGCCGCAGGCCAGGCAGTAGGCCAGGCTGCCCAGGAGGTCCCCCGTGTAGTTGAAGTGGCGCGCCAGGCCCCAGAAGCCCGACACCATCAGTTTGCTGCGGTGCCTACGCCCGTCGGCCGACGTGTACGAGCACTCGATGTACTTGGGCTTCCGGCCCCAGATCTGGCAGTTCCCGTCGGTCTTCCGGAAGAGGTCCTTCTGGTGGTTGGCCTCCCGGAAGATGTAGTAGCCCGCAAGGCCCAGCAGCAGGACCGCCAGCGCGTGCGGCGCGGACAGCTGCACCGGATGGTAGACCAAGTACAAGCCCTGTGGGGACCACAAGAGGGAAGGGGAGCCCGGAGGGCCGGGCGTGGCTCTCACGGCTCTCAGAAGGGCCGGCGGCAGAGCGCTGCCCTGGAGTAGCGCAGCCTCAGCCTCCCTCACGTCAAATGACCCAGAAGCCCTGGAGGACCCTTCTAAAAGCCCAAGCTCCTCCCAGGACCCAGGAAGCCTCGTGAAGACTGAGGGGAGACACGACCCCGTCCCTCTCCCTCACCAGGGGCATCCGCTCCCAGGGCACCCCTCTGCCCGAGCTGGTTCCTGCATCCAGGATGTCCCCACCCTACTTCCGCACCCATCAGGTCCTGCAGGGCCGAAGGATGCCCACAACGATGCCCCGATTGGGGTCCTCTGGATATTGGAGTCCCCCTCTTACAGGTGAGAAAACCCAGGCTCAACAAGACGGATGGCGGCCTCTGGGCTTCTAAGGACGGGCAGGATATGGCCCAGTTCTCTCCTGACTGCCACCGTCCTGGGGGGACTTACCCTGGGGTCTGTGAACTTCCCAAAAGGATAACCGGATTTCGACAGAATTCACTTTTTATTTTTTTGGGGCTAGGCAATGGGATTAAGTGACTTGCCCAGGGTCACACAGCTAGTAAGCGTTACGTGTCTGAGGCCAGATTTGAACTCGGGTCCTCCTGAACCCAGGGCCGGTGCTCTATCCACCGCACCACCTGGCTGCCCCCTAGAATTCACTTCTGTTGTAATCCTATGTGACTTATCTTAGGCATTCTGGGAAGAGGTTCACAGGATTTGCCAAAGGGGCCCAGCACACAAGGGTGGGGATCCCTGCATCATGCCGCTGATCTGGCCAGTGCTGAGGAGCCCCCGGCAGGGAGGAAGGCTTGTCTGGGGGCGCTCACTGAGCATTTAAGGGAACTTCAGGGAGATAAACTGGGAAGCCAAAGGCCCGAGTGCCAATTCTGGCTCTGGCCAGAATTATACCTGGCGGCGCTATACCGGAGACACTCTGGATTTGGAGTGAGGAGTGATCTGGGTTCAAATCCTGCCTGGGACCTTTACTAGCTGTGAGACCGAGGGCAGGAAGCTCCCTGAGCCTCAGAGGTTCCCCCGTTTTTACGATGGGTCCTGGTGAGGCTCGGATAGCATGCTCTGCAATCCTAAACACTCCGCAGAAATGCCCGTCACTGCCATTGCTTGCCCAGCTCTGAGCCTTATCGTTTTCATCTGTAAAATGGGGACAAAAACAGACTACCTGCCTTTCCTATCACACAGGTTGGGGTAAGGACCAGAGGAGCCAATCTGTGCCCAAGATGCTAGTAAAACGTATTTTTTAGATGACCACAACCTTGCATTGACTGTCGGTCACATCTCCCTAGACACATTCTTCTCATTTCCTATGTTGGGTGCAGCATTGGTCCATTAGATCTTAATCTATTTTTTTAAATCAACATTTATTAAGCACCTACTGTGTGCCAGGCACAGGCCTTTGTCTCTTCTTCTATCCCCGGTGCCTGGCACACAGTAGGTGCATCTTTCAGAAAGGCCGCGGTGTCAGGGGTGCATCCTCCTAACAATACTGGCCCCCCAAACCTGAACGGAGGGTCTTCACGAGCTCACACGGCCTAACAAAGACACCCCTCGGAGGCCAGTCCCCTGCTGGCGATGGGGGCTGCTTCCTCCGCTGTGGAGGCGGATGGGGACTTTGGCAGCCCAGAGGGATTCCCGGTTGTGTCTGCCAGGGAGCGTGGATCACTCCCTCCCCCGCCCAAGAAGGTCTGAACGGAGACAGGATGAGCCTCCCACCTTCGCAGGTCTTACCTGGAGGGTGTAGAGGTAAGGTAGCCAGACGCAGTCACCCCAGCCCAAGTACCAGCCAAAGTGGTCATGGCAGATGTCGATGGTTTTCAGGTACCAGGTTTCATTCCAGAAAAAGTCTACCACGTAAACAGCCTAAAAGATAGCAGGGGAAAGTTCACCGGCCTGGCGTCCGCCGGGACCCTCAACCAGTCTCTGGGGGTAGCTACAAAGTCCAGAGAACCGATGCAAAGGAGGAAGGACGATTTTGGGGGAATTAACCAAGGCCTCGGTAGCATCTGAGCTGTGCCTTGAGGAAGCTAAGGGTCCCAAAGGCAGAGCGCAGGGCAGAGGCATGCCAGGCAGGGAGGCCACCTAGCGCAACGGTGCCCAAGTGGGCTTTTTCACCCATCAGCCAAGTATGGTGCCAGGACCTGGCTCTGAGGGTGGGTGAGGCTGGGGGAGAGAGGTAGAGGCTTGGGGCAGCCCCTTCCTGGAACGGGTACATGGATAAATCCTTTGCTGCACTGAAGGCAAGCCTAGCTGAAATGGGCTAGCATACGTCTGTAGTGGACTTCCTAATGCGGCTCCCTCAGCATCGTGGGGGCAGTAGCGGAAGAGCAGGGAGGTGGGGGGCGATGTGACCGTGGAAAAGGCCCCAGGCCTGGGGCGGGGAAAGAGCCCCACTCTTGTGTCTGTTGACAGCACAGTTGGGAAATCTTCTCTTCAGTCACCAAAGACTTGGCAAGTGCCAAATCCCAAGGCCTTTGCTCACCACCTCACCCCTCTCTCTCACACCTCTGCAGGAAGTCTTCGGCACCGGGGAGGGCCCTTGACCCCGGCGGCCAAGGGCGAGGTGGACGCCTGCACAGCCGCTTGGGGCGTGCACGCACTCACCTGCAGGACGTTCACCAGGATCATGGCGTTGGTCACCGAACCAAAGAGCTCCTGCTGCTTGGCCGCAAAGGACAAGTTGATGAGCGTCCAGGCGACGATGCCCGGGCGGCCGTTGAAGAAGAGCTTAAAGTCAAACCACTTCCCCACCCGCGGGTTGAACTCCACGCCCATCATGTAGTTGTAGAAGAAGTTGCCTGTGAACTTGCTGAAAGGGGCAGAAAGAGCAGGAGGTGGCCAGGGGCAGCGGGTGCCTGAGCCCAATGGCACGACCTCTAAGCAGGACCCGTCTCTCTGCCCGCGAGCTCTGGAAGTCCTCTACGGGCCACGAGGTGGCGGCCCCGGACCCAGCCAGAGTCAGGAAATGGGACCAAGATGACCCTCAGACGCCGACTAACTGGGTGACCCTGCCTCATCTGTAAAAAGGGGTTAACAACAGCCCTGACCCCACAGGGCTGCCATTGTCGGTAAAGTGCTCAGTGAACCTGAAAAGCACTCTCCAAGTGCCAGCTACTCCTGCTTCTATCTAACCGCCCACTCTGCTTATTCCCCAAGCTCCCTAAGCCCTCAGCCACCTCACAATCTGGCCACACTAGTCACACGGCATGCCATTTCTGGCCCCCCGGCCTTTGCAGATGGGTCCCCACACCTGAAATCCCTCCTCTGCCTTCTGAAACCAGGAGCGCCTGTCAAAGGTCAGCACACTTACTGAGGACAAAAGTCGGAGCACAGAGAGATGCCCTGTGAAATCCAAACATTCAGCTCCTTCCCCAGAAGGGGAGAGAAAAGGTGACCGCTTTGGGTTATGGTGTTTGGGCAGTGCGAGGGTCCACGCTTGGTGATTGCGAGGTGGGGCAGGGCAGGGCAGGGCAGGGCAGGGCTGGGCAGGGTACGGCTGGGCTGGGGGCCAAACCAGGCCTCTGCCTCACCATGTCACCAGTGGTGACAACATTCCCTGTGTGGGAAGAGTATGGTGAGCTCCACGTCACTGCCAGGCCCCAAGCAGAGGCTGTATGACTACTGGTTGGGGGCGTGTTTTAGAGGGGGTACTTGTTTAGGGATGGGCTAGACTAAATGCTTCTGCGGTCTCTGCCAAACCTGACATTTTATCATTCTGTGACGTGACCGTCCTATTGTGGGGGCTGGGTTGTGGCCCCCATGATGAGGAAGTTTAAAAAAAATAGAATGTAGCATGGCTTCAGTTGGGACCTGAAAGCCCGGAATCTTCCCTCAAAAATGCTTTTGCTGCAGATTTTCGGGAGAGTCACATGGATCTAGAAGTGGTGGAAACCCTATTCAGGCCACGTCTTTCAGAGGACATTCTGCAGGGCACACAGTAGGTGCTTAATAAACGGGAGGTTCAGAAAGACCTCTGGATTTAGAATCAGCCTTCCCAGCTCTGTGCTCCAGGGCTCCTCCCAGCCCGGACTTTCCAAGATTTTAGCGTTTATTGAGACTGGCAAGGGAAGAGGTCACTGAGTCCCATTCTCTCGTTTTCAGGCGGGGAGTGGACGTCACAATCAACATCCCGAGTCTCACAGAGAGCGAGCGGGGTGAGGGGAACCCTTGCCTCCACCCCCAAACCTGGTGTTCTCTGCATTAGGGCAGATCCCCTCGCCGCCTCCACCTCTGGGCCTCACCAGTGATCATGGCAACAGCTCAGGCGGTGAAGGAGGGCCTGGAGAGATGCCTGGGAGATCTCCACAGAGTACTCTGCTTACTAAGGCAGGAGAATGGAATCCAACATTTTTGAAAGTTTCTAAACTTTCTACATTCTAAAACCATTGTAAAGGGACAGGGTGAAAACTAACAGACATTTAGCTAGTCACAAATGAATAAAAGTATACTGGTTATCCAGGGTTTCAGCTGCTGAATCTCCTCCCCCCACCCCCAATCCATTCTCCTCTCCCTCCTCCTCCCTATGAGGGACCAGAGGTCCATGGGTCAACGCTGGCTTTCCCACCGGGCCATGGAACATACCAGTCTTTGGCGCTGGTGGGGAACAAATATCCTTTGACGAGCGCGAATGTGGACACGGTGTAGCCAAGAATATTGGCGCACCAGAGCAGCGGTATCCAGTTGTCAAAAATGATGGTAGGAGAGAACCAGTGAAAGAGATGAGCATTTGCAAACCACAGAAGGTGCGTGATGAGCCAGGCCTGAAGACCGTTGATCTCATACTTGTTTACCGTTCCTGCAAGGGAAGCAACACGGGATGGGGGAGCGGACCTGCGTGCGCAGTGAGAGGGGCGCGTCGGCAATGCTTTCCTCTCCGTTTCTAGCCAGGGCGAGCATCCTGCGACTCCTTCCCAGGCCACACCAACCTTTCTGCCCCAGGTGGTGGATCCAGAGCCAAGGGCCTCGAGTCAGGAGGCCCCGGTGCCAGCCCAGGACATGCCTCTCCCGTGCCGTCCCTTTCTGGGCTGCTACATTCTTTTCTATCAATCTGGGCACCCCTGGGCTGTTGCAGACAGGGAAGGGGAGCACAGTGAGATGGGGACCCTGGCCGTCTTCTGGCCGGTGGCCAATGTTACCTGCAGGCGTTACAGCCCCTTCCTGAATGCCTCCCACGTAGCCAGGCAGAAATTTGTGGCAAAAATCAGGAATCATCATGTACAAAGCCACCTAAAATAAGACGTGTGGGGCGAAAATTACCGGTGGCTGAGATGGTCGGGATCCATAAGCGGGGGAGCCTGTCTGACCCGAGGTTATTTCCAAGCCAGAGAAACTTCGTTGTCAGCTCAAGCTTTCCTCCTGCCAAAGGAGTCACGAGGCAGAGACAGCTGTATTCTGAGCAAGGGAATTCCAGTCTCTTTAAAGTGTGTCTTGGCAGCCTGGGCTATTTGCGCTCAGAGCCAGTCCCCGCCTGGTTCACGATAAGAGCTGCTCAGGAAGGGGGAGGGAGGGAGGCTGACCTGAAAAGTAACCCAGCCGACGTAGATCTGAGCTGCTCTGGCCGTGACGCCCGGCGTGTGGGCCCAGATGTCCGAGAGGCTGGATTTCCCGGTCACCACCTCCACCACGGGCGCGGTGAGGGAGCAGCCGTACTGATCACAGGACATGACAAAGTAATAGACAATCAGCGGAGCAAACATGAGCAGGAACATGACGCTGGCCAAGGAGAACCAGTCCACCTCCCTGCAAAAGAAGATGGCACAGGGTCACGGGGGTGCAGCCGCCGGCCCCCCGGGGAAGGCCCGAGGCCACGAGGGCAGGGCCGGGGACGGCGAAGCCACCAGGCTGCTTTCTGTGGCTCCGCGGGAAGGGCCCTCTGGACCCTCTCGAGGCGTTTTCTTAGGACGCCGGGAGGTCCGACAAGAATTAGGGCCGGGCGCAAACAAGATCACGCCCCTATGGCTGAGCTGGTCTGACCATTAATCAGACTGGGAACCTCTTGAGGGCAGGGACTGGTCCCATTTTATAGATAACCAGAATGTAGCATAGTGCCCAGCATGCAGTAGGTGCTTAATAAACGCTGGCCATGGACTCCCAAAGCCAGCCTGTCCACGTGCAAAAGAGCCCTGCGGGTGAAAAAAGAGAACTGCAGGGGTGGGGAACAGACGGATGGCACAATACACCCTCACCCCCCCTTCTGGTGCAACGTCCCTCCAGAGGCTATGTCAACTGCCATCATCTGAAGGTGCACGGCGTGTGTGCCCAGAGCGTGCGTGTGTGTGTCTGTTCTTTACGTGGTGCGGATGAAACCAGGGACAATCCCGGCCCCTTCTTCCCAGGGATGTTCGGAGTGCTGAGGGAGATGAGAACGGTAAAGCGCTTTGGGACAGGACCTGGCACACAGTAGGGGACACAGATTTACTTGTAATTATTATCATTAAAGTGAGCGTGTTTGATCTTGGCAGAATTACACCCCAGCCAAACCGGACATGCTTAAAACATGCTTTCCCCTTAACTTAGGAAGGTGAGCACGATGAATGATATCAGGACAGTGATTATAGCTACCACGGACAGAGAGCCCTGACGTTTGCAAAGCGCTTTACAAACCAGAATGCACCTGGGTCTCCCAACTACCCCGGGAGGTAGATGCTGCTACTATCCCCACTCTACCAATGAGGAAACCGAGGCACACAGTGGTTAAGTGACTTGCCCAGGGTCACCCAGCTAGGTGGTGCCTGAAGCCAGATTTTAACCCGGGTTTTCCCGACTCCAGGCTCTGTGGTACCCCCAGGTGCCTCCAGAACCTTCTGAACCCGGGTTTCCCACAATGCTTTGCCGCTACTGCTTCTCGTTATCAATTATTTGCACATGAAGGGTCCGTGTCTGAATGCCATGTCTCCCTCCTCCCCCCTGGGACAGCAAGTACCTTCCTGGGTATGGCTCAGCTAATTCTCAGAACAGCCAGTTCCTTTGAAATCAAGCAAGGCCGTGGCCCCTTTCAACACCCCACATTCCTCACGTACGAGGATCCGGGGGTCAAGATCCTGACGTCATCCACCAAGGCCCCGCCCACGTGGTCAGCAGGGAGACGGTGCCCAGGTTTCACCAGGCAGGAGCCAGAGAGCCCAGGGAGTGGATGTGGGCACCCGGCCACCTGCATCCCACCCTCCCCACAGCAGCCAGACCTGGGCTTCCTAGCACACAGGCATAAGCAGGAGCTGCCCCTGCTCCAGAAGCTTCAGGGGCTCCCTCTTGTCCCCCAGACAAATACAGATTCCTCTGGTTGGCATCTTAATGCCCTCCACAAGCAGCCTCCAGCTCATCTTGGCAATCTTATTCCATATAACTCACCCCCCCTCCAGGGCTCTATGCTACCGCAAACCCTCTTCCTTGGGGTTCCTCTCACACAACATATCATCTCCTGCCTCCAGGCCTTTGCCCAGGCTGTCCCTTCTGCCAGGACTGCACTCCCTCCTCAGCTGAACTCTTTGAATCCCTTCAAAGCTCAGCTCAAGGGCTACATTCTAGATGGGGGCCTTCCAGACTCCCTCCCTTCCTCTCCCCTGGACATCTTCATGTGAGCACATTCCCACCACCTCCTACAGAATGGAAAGTCCTTCAAGACAGAGACTATCTAATTTCTTTTCTATCCCTACACATAGTAGGTACTTGATTGATCAAGTCAATTCTACAAATATGAAGTCCTTGCTATGGGGAAAGCACTAAGTAAGACCCTGGGGAGACAGACGTGATAAAAAGTGGAACCCGTCTTCAAGAAGCTTCCATTCCACCAGTGGGAAAAGCACACATGCACAGATCTATACAATCTATACAAAGTGGGGGGCACTCGGAGCGGGGGGCGCCAGGAGAGGCTTCCTGCCAGAGCTGACCCCCGAAGGAAGTGGGGCGTGGCATTCCATGCAGGGGCGACTGTCCGTGCAAAGGCATGAGGGTGGGAGAAAGCGGGTCACGTAGCGTGAACATCAATGGGACCCTTCCCTTTTCTAGGTCTCAGTTTCCTTGTCTGTAAAACCATCACCTTGGACTAGGTGGCCTTCAAGCTTCCTCCAGTCCTACATCCTGCATCACCGTCTTCAGAGAATGAGATATTCAGGCTGAGGGCAAGATGTGAAAGGGCGAGGGGGAGTCCTGCTGCCCCCTCCCCTGGGGTTCACAATCCGAGTGGAGGGAGAGACCGACCTTCGGTGCATTCTGCGCGATTATTTGATGCCAGAACAGCAATCCCAGCCATGAAAACACCACTTAGAAACGGCCGTGTCCTTTAGGCAGGCTCCAAAGCAGGAGTCGTATTTTTCACAAAGTCTGACTCTCCCCAGGGGATGTCTCCACCGGACGTTTAAACCTAATTCCTTAATGTTCCATTCTCTCTAACAGCTGGTCACACGTTTTCATCGGGGGAAATGTGAGCGTGACTACTGTCTATTTTCCTTTAATAATAATGTAAGTCTAATACTGAAATTATTATAATGGTAATATTACAATTATAATATCAAAAACAATCCTAATCTCCTGTGACATCCTGCACAGACGTCTCGGGGTTGGCCCCTAGCTTTGTGGATGGACTTCCAGATCAGGACATTTATACAGGGCCAAGTCAAACATCTGCCTCTATAACTGTGTATGCTTTTTGAAAAATAATTCGGAAATGTCATTCGTGGCTGAAAAACTCTAAATGCACAGAACGACTCTGGCTATAAGCTCAGTTGTGACCATTTCTGATCAATCCCTAGGATTCAGCCATATTTGTCACACCGTTCTACCCCTCATCCCACCGTGCCCCGGCCCCACGTCAATGCTCTGTGTCACCTGGAAGCTGAACCTGAAGTAAAAAAGGATTCTATGAAGAACTCCATTAAGATTCTCCAGATGGAATCAGCATCTCTCTAATGCTTGACACTCAGAGGCGTGGACGCCACGGGGGGCGCATGGGACAATTTGGGATAAAGAAATGAGGGGCAGCTAGGTGGTTCAGTGGACAGAGCTCCAGCCTTGAAGTCAGCAGGACCCAAGGTCAAATCCGGCCTCAGACACTTGACACTCACTAGCTGTGTGACCCTGGGCAAGTCACTTAACACCGACTGCCTCACCAAAAAAAAAAAAGGCCAAAGTTAAGCCTCAAAAGCATAACCCCTGTGAGACAGCAGAGGCACTGGATATGGGGGGCACCAAATATCATTTCCAAAAGGAAAACCTATGCTATGACTGGACGCCATGCAGAGCCATGCACCATCTGCTAGTGATTTGAGATTTACTAACTATGGACAGCAAGCATTCAGTCCATGGACTACTTGGAACGAAGGTGAAAAGTAACTCCCAAAAGGGGATGCTACACACACTGCCCATACATGGTTGGTGAACCAGCTGGTTTTGCTAAACTGATTTTTTTTCCCCTTGTTGTTCTTCTTGGGTTTTAAATATTTGCTGTGACGGACGGAAGACCGCATGCTGCCGTGGACTGCGCGCCAGTCTCAAAGCCAAGAAGACTTCTAGCCTTTGACGCTGGGAAGCCACTTAACCTTTCAGCGCCCTTGGCAGGGAAGACGCCAACCTGAATGTGCGGGGGGAGTTTCCTCATCTCGGAATTCCCTAGAGCGGCGAAATTCTAGGTCAAGCCCCTCCCTCTTAGTCTAAGAAGGAGAGGAGAAGGAGGGATTTATCTGGAAAAGACGGCAGCGAGGAAGACAAGAAAAGGGATCACTGTAACTAAGGAGTGAGCGACTGACATTCAGCTATAAGAAGGATCGAGAGCAGGAGTGGCCTGAAATCAGGATGGCTCAAACCACCCTCGTCGATCCAGTCGTGAAGGCTGAAAGAGAGAGACAGAGGTGGAGAAAGAGAACGAGGTGGGGGGGAAGGGAGAAGACAACGACCCAATGACTCCAGTAATTACCCACATTTCATATACTTTATCTCATTTCATTTGAGCCTCCCCATAGCCAGTAAATATCAGAGGAATTCTTTGAGCTTTCTGGAGGAGAATAGTGAGGGCGGCCTGTGGTCGCTTTTGTCAGAAGGGATCTGGCCCCCGGTCTTCCTGACAAGTCTAAGCCTCCCTCCCTTGTGAGTAGAAGAGCGTCAGTGAGAGCCACAAGGCCTTGCAAGAGTGGCCAAAGCACAGGAGCTGCTGCCTCTGCACGGCACCCTCTTGATCTCTCCCAGTGCAACAAGTGTGACGCCCCTTCAGTTATCAGCGACCCGCTCCTGCATTAACCCTGGGAGGCGTCGGACTGTCCACCTTGCTCCCCAACTCTGAAGACTCAGGGGAGATACTGAGGTCCTGGCTTTAAAGCTAGGAGGGACCAGAGTTTGGGAGTGGGAAGATAATCCAGAGCCTTCCTCATGGACAGAGGAGATGCAGGAAAACCAGTGTGTTGTTATCTCCAAGCCAGCAGGGCTAACATTCCTTCTCCACGAGGAGTCACATCTTGGCCTTTTGCTAATGTCAGAATTTCCTCTCTCCCTCTCTCTCTCTCCTTCTCTTCTCCCCTTCCCTTTTCTCTTCTCTCTCTGTTTCTATTTCTCTTTCTCTCTCTCCTCCCCCCCTCCCCCGTCTCTTCCTCATGCATGAGTGTGTACTTGTGTCTGTGTGTATGCCTGTGTGTGTGCACTTTGTCGTAGGGTCAGACATCTGGGTTGGGTTGGGCGGGCCGGGGAGCCTCAGGTCATTGAGTCCAGCACCCTCATTTTGCAGAACAGGAAACTGGGTCCTAGGGAAGGTAAGCGACTTGATCACTGAGAGTCAGCGCCAGCTGGTATGGGATCCTGGGGCCCAACTCCAGACTCACAAGTTCCTGGCCCCTTTGAGCTTGTTTGTCACGGTGACTCTTTACCCCGCACACACTTGGATAAGCGGCCCTCACTATTCTCCTCCAGAAAGCTCAGAGAATTCCTCTGATATTTACTGGCTATGGGGAGGCTCAAATGAAATGAGATAATGTATACGAAATGTGGGTAATTATTGCTTTTTTTTTATAGCAGAAAGAACCTTACAAAAAGCTGGGCCATCGAGACGTGGCTTGAGCTCCAGGCCTTCTACTGTGGGCCACTCAGCAAACCATGGCCACTCTGCCCCAGGCCTTGGAGATCTCCCTCTCAAACCCTCAGGCCGTGGGGCTGGAAGGAGGGTCTTACCAGGCTCGACCCCACTTCCCTTGAGCTGCGTTGTCACCATTTGGAATCTTCTTGGGGTCCCTCTGCTTGGGGGATCCGGCTGGGGCACGCATCGCCATCGGACCCTAAAGAGAAGAGATCCGTATTACTGCTTGGGTGCAATAATGGTGAAATTCCCAAGCAATCCCTAAGCACGTATTAAGTACCTACTGCGTTCCAGGAATTCTGACACTAGTTGATCAAGGTTGAGTCACCCGAGCCTCAGTTTACTTATTTATAAATCAATTTTAAAAAGGGAATCCTATTTGTAGCACTTACGTATCTAAAGGCAGTTAGGTGGTGCACTGGGCCTGGAGTCAAGATCTAAATTCAAATTCAGCATAAAATACTTTCTAGATGCGTGACCCAGGACAAGTCACTTAACCTGTTTGCCTCAGTTTCCTCGACTGCCAAAGAGGGGTTAGAATAGCACCTACTTTTCAAGTTTGTTGTGAGGATTAAATGAGATGGTATTTGTAAAGCACTTAGCACAGTGCCTGGCACACAACAGGCGATCTATAAATCTGACAGCTCACTGTGGCACGGACGGACAGACCTTGGGCATGGGCAAAGTGATGGACTTCATGGTTACTGTTTCCAGGACCGGCCCGGGGTGGGGTGGATGTGGATGTTTAGGCAGTGTTCCCCAGAGGCCCCCCACTACGTAGCCACAGAGAAGGACAAAACCCTTTCAGGATCAATGACCATCCCAGAGCTGCTGGCAGGATACAAAGAGGGGCTGGAAGTCAGCCGTTCCGTAAACCTCAAGAGCTCTGTAAACACCACTTTTATTTAAAACAAAACAAAACACAAAACCCAACACTTTGCAAAAAACAAGGGATAATTGTTACTTTCCACAATAAACTTCATTCTACCTGACACGGCACAAAATGCTAAAATTAAGAGGAAAATAACAACTGTGCATCTTTTTGAAATTCATGAAAAACCAGAGTTTAGCCAACGACTTGGGCCGCTAAAACCAATCCATCCAAAGCAGCACCGGCTGGTTAAACACTCCAACAGCCTTCCGGCAGAAGGAAATTCACTTCATAATTTCTTTGTGGCTTTCAATGGACAGCAGCTGAACAAATTTCAAATATTACAAAATTATGGGGTGCTTTAGCAGTCTCTACTACTTTTTTGTTTTTTATATTTTATTATATTGATATATTATTAATTATATGTAATTAATATATTAATATAATAGACTATATCATACAATTATAACTGTACAAATAATTATACAACAATTCCAAAGTCATTTGGAATAAAACAATTCATCAGTCACTTCCAGGAAGAACTGCAGGTCAGATCAGCGGATTTTGAAAGGTCAGAGACCCTGGCTAATATAAACTGCATACTGACTGGCCTTGCCAGCCACATAGTTTGTTTTCATTTAGCTTTCATTTAGATCAGAAAGACCTTCTAGAAGGTCACGCAACAAACGAGCTTTCCTTGGGCTCGTAACGATATTTTGTGGCCCATAAAGTATTTCAGCTTTAGGAGACCACTTCTTGATAAATAAAATCCAAAAAGTCATATCCATCCCACAACCTTCTCCTTCCTCACCTCCTACGTGTAAATGCAGCCGGAATTTTTCCACAGTTACTGTGTGTGTTTGGATTCTGGAGAAACAATCCAGTGTTCAAGGTTATGTCAGTAAGCCTACGTAAAAAGAGCATTTCTCCGAAGCACAATTCTTACCGTCTCCATGGTTTTGAATACCATCCGATCCCAGGATTACAACCGGATCAGAAATCAGGGACCACCCAGTCCAACGCCCTCAGTTTATGGATGAGAAAACTGAGCTCGAATGATTTACTAAGATCTCCCAAAGAGTAATCAATCAATCCAGGATTTAAAGTCCAGTTCTCCGACTCCAAATCTAGTGCTTTTCCCATGCACGATGACAACTAGAGATTTGGTCGAGAACACGGTGATAAAGACATGATTCTGCACACACGCACATAGGAAGAAGTTGGGGCCGAGCTCTGGGGAAAGACACGTGTCATTCCAGAGACATTTTGAGAGAGACATACACAGAGATGGCAACATTTAGGAGAAGCTAGCTCCTCCACATGTCCTATAATTCCAGTTTGCCTTCCTAGAGACTCTAAACTTGATATTTCCTTTTTAAAAATTTTATTTATGTATTGTTAGTTTTCGACATTCACTTCCAGAAGCTTTTGTTTTAAATTGTCTTCCCTTCCTCTCCTCCCCCCTCCCCAGGAGGGTGTGCAGTCTAATACAGGTTCTACTTATGCATTCATATTAAACTTTGTTCACATTAGTCCAGTTGTAAAGAAGAATCAGAACCAACGGGAGAAACCATGAGAAAGAAGAAAGAAAAAAAAGAGAGAGAGAGCGAGAGCAAAGAGCCTGCTTCGATCTGCATTCAGACTCCCTGGTTCTCTCTGGGGATGGGACAGTATTTTCCAACGTGAGTCTTTTGGAGTTGTCTCAGATTCTTGCACTGCTGAGATCTCCACCACTTTTAGATACGATAAGAAAATACTGGGGAGACTCTTTACAAATGAATTCAACACAAGGAGAATCAGAAGAGTTCAGCCAGCTGGTCAGTCAACAAGCATTTATTAAGCACCGACAGAGGCCTAGGGCACAAAATCACAGGAGTCACAACTGGACCGACACGCTCACCTGACCAAACCTAAGGGCTGCCTCGTCTGCCCTGCTCTGTGATATAAAGATTTATGGCAGTCATTGCAATGGCCCCACAAACTTGGAGAGCCAGCCACACTGGCCTCCCGGCTGTTTCTTGTCTGAGGCTCTCTGCCTCAGCCTGGAGTCTCTCCCTCGTGCCCTGGACTGTCTGAACCATTCTATCTTACGCTTTCAGTTCGTACTGTAGACCAAAAAGCAAAATCTATTTTTAAGGCGGACACAATCTTGTTTAAGTTTTCTGATGCTAAATATTGCATCAGAGGAGCCAGAGGTCACAGGAGACCAAACACACAAATACTAGATTGATTGCCCAGTTATCAAAAATAAAATATTTGAAAAAGCCTGTTTAGCCAATTAGAGCTGAACGTGACCGAGCACAACACAGTTGATTTAAGTAGGAGGGATACATGCCGAGGGCCTCCTTCACTTACTTGCTAAAACTCCACCTTCCACAGGAAGCCCTTCCGGTCCGTTCAGTCTCGCAGGCTTCCCCTGGTGCTTATCTCCCCTAGAGTTACTTGCACATGATTGCCCTATCACACTGTGAGCTCCTCAGGGAAGGGTCTGCTTTCATTTTTCTCAGCATCCCTTAGCCCAGTGCGTGGCTGGCATTTACTTAATGTTTGTTGACTGACATAAGCCCAGACTTCTTTCCCTGAAATAACCAGCTTTCCTTTTCCCCAAAGAGCCGACACAGTCTTGGACGAGGAAACGAAGGTCACTCTATTGGGAGCAGTCACCCGATTTTCCCCATCGATCTCGTCGGTCTTAATGGGCTATATATAACTCATTTTTGATACTTCTGACGGCCTCTTAATTTGCTCCAGTCATTTTCAAAAAAAGCATCTCATCTTGGGCTCATTTCTAGGGCTCTGGATTGGGGAAGACTTGAGTTTGAATCCGACTTCTGATGCCTACCAGCTGGGTGACCCTGCTCAAGTCACCTAACTGCTCTTGGTCTCAGTTGCCTCATCTGTACAAAGAAGGGACTGGATTCAACGGCCCCTAAAGCCCCTCCAGGTCTAAATCTGTGGTAGCTGGGAGGGGTGGTGGATGGAGAATGGTAGCCGCTCCTCAAGACCCACAACTGACACCCCTCGTTCAGGCCTGCCAGTCCTGGGGAGCGCCAGGCAACCTGCTTCCCTAAACGTACCCATCAGAACTTCCCTCTCCTTTGTCCCCACCTTGCGAAGCTGAGAGCTCATTATCAGACAGACGGATCAGTAAGGCTGAGGTCTTCCTAGCAGAAGGCCACAACCTCTTTTCCAGGACACACAAGTACCTTGTAACAGGCGCCTTCTGAGGACAACTCTCCCAACTTGACGAAGGGAGATTCTGTCCCTCCCGCCAGGGGGAGGGGAGGGCACCATCCTGGCCGGTCAGGGCAGGGGCGAGATGGGTGGGGAGGAGGAGGGCATTGTGATCTTCTGCAGCTAGCCTGCAGCGCTTTCCTCCATGTGCCAACATGCTTTTTTATCACCAGAAACATCTCGACCTGCTCATCTTTCCCAACTGAGTCAAACACGTATTGACAGAGACCTCGATGGCTGGCGAGGGGTAGCCACGTCTCTGAAGGCAGCATGCATGAGAAGGGATGGGGGAGGGCAGCGAGTCTCGCTATCCAAGGACACCTCCTTCCGCAAGGAGATTCTAAGAGTGGGCCCGGCGCGGGCCAGGGGCCAACCGACTCAGCACCTGGGTTTGGGAGGGAGCGGGCTGCAGAGGTGGCAGGCGTCTTTCGCCATACCACACCCTCTGCCAAGACAATTGCCTCTGAAATCCCTCAGAGATTCACTCCTCTGGGATTCCAATGAAGGGTCTTGCTTTAGAGCTGGTCCAACTGTCTCCTTGTACAGAAAAAGAAGTCTAACTAAATAAAGATAAAAAAAAAACCTAAATGAAGAAAATGTGAATAGAGATCTTTAAAAAATCCAATTTCAGGAAAAAGAATTCAAACCAGCTTGGTCTGGATATAGTTACAGCTGAATTGTATCCAACTTCTGTAGAACAACAACTATGTACTGTTAAAACACTGGGAATGAAAACACTCCCATTTAGGATATAACCATATCCTTCATCCTTACACTAGGGGAGGGGAAGGCCAAGAGAGCCCCACATCCACCTCCCCAAATCACCAATGATGATTAACCCAATTACTGGCTGCTGACTCTCCTTTGCCTCAGGACCTGACTCCTTCTAGACTCGGCTCAAATCTTACCTGGACCGGGAAGCCTTTCCCAGGCCCCTGGCTCCCAGCCCCTCCCCCGTCGTCAGAGCACCCATCAAGCATTGTGGATGTGTGCTCTCTCCCCTCAGACAGTGCGCTCTGTCTTGTGCATTTTCTGTATGCCCATAACTTAGCACAGTACCTTGTATACCTTTGGTGGTTACTAAATGCTTATGGACTGATGGAGCCCAACCAGGAAAAATGGAAAAACAGGACCCAAGATGAATAATGAGTAATTTTATAATGACCAAGCTTAACTTTACTGCCCCGCCCTCTCCTTTCTCCTGCAAGAGGTGGTGGGACTCCTGAAAACAGCATCCCATGATGGGTTTACCAGCCAGTTTCACCTGCGCACCTTTCCTTCTTTCCTCCTCAGGTTGTGGTCACTCTTGGGCCAAGGAAATCCACGGTGCTCTGGAAAACCAGCAGGGAGGGAGCCGGGTAGGAAACCTATTTGGAAATGAAGGCGACGAAATAATACAACAGAATCTCCGCAAACCGTGACAACTGAGTCATCCTCATCATCACAGTGAGGAGAATAAATATATTTTAAAAAGGAAACGAGGAGGAAAGCCCCCCCCCCCTCGCCCTGTTTGGTCGCCTGGAGGCCCCCAGCAGTCAGTCTGGTTTGGAATAGTCACCCTGGTTTCTCTGAGAGGTGTTAGACGGGCCCTGCTCCTCCCAATTGCCTCCAAAATGGGATATGAGTTCAAAATCACCTTTCAGTGGAAACCAGGAGATTTTCAGGAAATGCCCTGAGGCAGGGAGGATGGGTTTGAATCCCAACAGGGATACTTCCTTCTCACTACCAGTGCAACCTTGGCCACCGGCCCTCTCAGGGCCTCAGTTTCCTCAACTGTAAAAGGAAGGGGCCAGACTGGGTAGGACCTGAAGCTTTGGTGAGCCTCACTCTGGCTCGGCCAAGACCAAGACAGCAGGGAATGAGGCCAAACAAACATCCCTCCCCCAAAATGGGCCAAGGCCCAGTTCAAGCCAGTTTGCCTTCCAAACACCTCCGCACACCGCTTTGGGGGCGTGGCCCCTTTGGGCTGTAGGTGAAGCCTCTGGATTCCTTCCCAGAATCACGTTTTTTAAAAGCACAAAATATGTAGGATTACAGTAATCCTTTCTATCCTACATGGTCAAAGCTTGCAGAATCTCTGCTCTAGAAAGAGGGAATTGCCTTTCTTTGAGCTGAATTCAGATCGAGGAAGCCCTGCTCATCAAAGACAGACGGCTGGGCCCCGAGCCTCCAGAATCCTCTCTTCCCCTGAACCACTCCATAGGAATAGGAAGGTTAAAACATTTACAAAGCACTTTACCTACACATATCTCATTTGAGCCTCACAATGAGTCTGGGAGAGAAGTGGGAGCAGGAGGAGGGGATAAACATTTAGGGAGCACCCACTAAGCTATCTCCTTTGGTCCTCAAACCCTGAAGCAGTCATGACGTTAACTGTCAGGCTGGATTTGAACTCAGGTCTTTCTGATTGTAGGCCCTGCACTGTACCAGTAAGCCACCTCCCCACTAATGGAACTACTACCACCACCTAATGCCAAGGGAGTCGGTGTGGGTTCAAATATGGCATTGGGAACCTGAACAATTCACTTTAGCTCTCCTGTTTATAACAGGGGGTCCTTTCTAACTCCAGATCCTAAGGAAGAACTGTACCCTTGGGGTGGGGTCATCAAAGTCAGAAGGGGGACTCCCCCCAGGAGGAGCCAGGAGCCCAAGCCCAACCAGAGAAAGAACAACCCTCCCCTACTATTCACAACCGGACCTCAAAGATTTAAGGCCACCTGACGATGTCTGGGGGCTTGCCCCCCAGGAAATGAAAAGAAAAAACAAAACTGTCTGCAGAGCTCTCATTTTGATTCTGTTCGGCTAGAAACCACACCAGGCTAATTCAGCGTTTGCTTACCCAACACCATTTCTCCAGACATACTATGGTTAACACCTTTCAGAGAAACAGTTTTGGGGTTTCTTGGGGGGGGTGTCACATTTTGTAATCACATAATACTGTTTTTCTTCGCCTAGGAACCACAATTCAAACCGTCCGAACCATCCCGATACCTCGCACCGCTGGCGGGTAACTATTAAATTGAGCCCAAGTCCAAGGACGTCTTCTGTTTCAGAGGGAGGAGGGGGAAAGCTCGGCCATCTGAGTTTTCTGCACCTCTGCCGGGCAGACACACTTATTTATGACGATGAATTCTCTGGGGTAATTTAGGGAAAGCAAAACCAAACGCTGCAGTTTTGCCCCGATCTCTCATTTCACTTCAGAGGTCAGTTTATCTCGAAGGTTATTTTTTCAATTTCATATTTATCATTCCATTTGATTCTTTAACGTAGTTGGGGTGTGTGTGTGTGTTTGCATTACAAGATGGTGGTTAAGATTAAGAACCGACTACCCAGGCCTTCTTTGGCATTTTCACTAGACTGGGTTACGTCCTGAGTATAGCTAGAGCTGGGCTGGTGCCTCCTTTTCATACTCCAAGGTTGAAAACGTAAAGTAAACGCAAAAGCCCTCGAAATCGAAATCAGAGAGCAGCAGACCTGCTCGGTCTTTTTGAAAGGCATTGCAGCGTTTTCCCGAGCGCCTACTGAACGTTTCCGCGGGCTCTGCACGCTGTCTGGGGCACTCCCCTCGGACCTGAGTAGCTAGTGTCCCTTCTCCGGGAAGGCCCTAGAGATGAAGCCACCTTCAGATTCATCACAGCCACGACTGTGAAAGCCTACAAGGGCGACAAGCACTGGGGCGCATCTCAGCCAAGATTCAGTGAGCGCTGGGCTAAGCCCCGGGGATGCAAAGACAAGGGCACCTGCCATCTACCACACCTGGACACCCCATGCAGGGCCGACGTGTGCGCTCTCGGAGGCAAAGCCAAGACGTGGCTTGTCTAGAGCGTCCCACGGTACCCAGCTGAGCCTCTCCAACTAGCTTGCTTGCTTGGAATCCCCAAAGTCCCTAGACCGGTTCCCGCTGGGTTTCTTACCTCCTCCACGCTTCCGCGACCCAGCACACCCAGAGACGCTTCTACAGCTCGCATAGCTGGGAGCCCAAGTTGATGCATCCGATTAGGGACCGCCCTCCGAGCCGATGCGTGCCACGGAGGCGGCCAATGGACTGCCAGGGATCGCCCTGTCACCGCGCTCTACACACTTAGATTGGTGCAGACGCCTCAAGCCATCTCGAGCCCACTGAGGAGGAGCCAGCCCGGCCACTCAGCTGCAGGAACAGGGGCGGGACCCTGCTTCAAAGGCGCCATTTCCCTCCCCCTCGGCCCAAGCCAGGCTTTTTCCTGGGCGGGGATCCTCACAGAGGGCGGGTCCTTAGGGAGCCCCGGGGGGAGGGGCAGCGAGCCGGAACCCAGGGCGGTTTGCTTGGCGGCCGAGTGGATTCCCCTACGCTGTAAACGCCAGGAGCCCCGCTTCCCTGTAGAACGAGGCCCAAAATGCTCTGTTGGTCCTATCGTTCCTAGCCCTGTACGCTTTACTCGAGAGTCCAGCCGTGCTGGCCTATTCTCGGGACCTGCCCCGACCCCGGGAATGTTTCCCCGCCTCCTCCCCCTCCCGTTCTATAGCGCTTTTGTGTGTGCCCGCGTACGTGCACGCTGTCTTCTCCATTGCAGGGCAAATGCCCCTGGAGAGCCAGGGATTTTGTCTTCGTAGTCTCAGGGCCTGGCCACGCAAGCTTTTTGATGGACGTTTAGGGCAATGGTTAGTGATAGCGCGTCAACCCCACCCCCACCTTGGGACTTAAATGAACTTCGTCCCCGGAGGCAGACTTTAGCGGTCTCAGGCCACGTGACCGGACCTACCGGTGGGGTCACTGGCTCCGCATCTGGAGGGGGAGGGGACGAGGGAAGGTGCCGGGAGTCTCGCTGGCGGTACTTGACCTATCACTGCCCGGCCAGCTGGTGCCACTGCCCGTCCCAACAGCCGAGCCCGAAGTCTCAGCCTGGCCCGGCAAACCTTCCCCCCCCCCCGGCCCGGGACGCGGGAGGGGGCGGGGCTGGGGCTGGGGCTGTGGTCTCTGCGGGGGTCCAGCTGCCCCAGGGCCGGCGGGTGCCCCCACGTGGCGGGCGGGGCGGTGCACGGCGCGGGGAAGCTCCCGACGCGGACCAATCCGGGCGAGCCGAGGATACTTTGTAACCTGTTGGCTCGCCGCGTTCCGTCGCTGCGTGGCGGGGCGCTCGGAGCCCGGAAGAGAGAAGGCCGCCGGCCCCTGCCGTTGCCCCTGCCCCTGCCCCCCCCCCTCCCCCCGGCGCGGATCGGAGGAAGGGCGGACCGGAGGAGGCCGGCGAGGCGGCAGGCATGGGCAGGAAGGTGACCGTGGCCACCTGCTCGCTCAATCAGTGGGCGCTGGATTTTGAGGGCAATTTGCGGAGGATTTTAAGGAGTGAGTATGGGGGGAGGGGGAGAGTGGGGCGTCGGGCGAGGGGCCGGAGGGGGCAGGGATAAGAGCCGCCGTGCACCCCAGGCGAAATCCT